AGGAACTTTAGTTCTTCGTAGCCGAAATGACACTTCTCCGGTTTTAGAGATAGGCCCGCGGATCGAATAGCGACGTAGACGGAGTGAAGTCGTTGTAAATGTTGCTCAAATGTTTTGGAAAAAACAACAACGTCGTCTAAGTACACGAGGCAGGATTCCCACTTCAGACCGGACAGGACGGTGTCCATCATCCTTAGGAACGTTGCCGGTGCAGAGCACAATCCAAATGGTAACACTTTGAATTCGTAGAGGCCATCGGGAGTTATAAATGCTGTTTTTTCCCTGTCACGTTCATCGACCTCGATCTGCCAGTAGCCGCTGCGTAAATCCATTGAGGAAAAATATCGGGCATGTCGAAGTCGATCCAGTGAGTCATCTATGCGTGGGAGAGGGTAAACGTCTCTCTTTGTCACTTTGTTGAGCTTCCGGTAATCGACGCAAAATCGAAGAGTGCCGTCTTTCTTTTTAACAAGTACGACGGGTGACGCCCATGGACTGTTCGAGGGTTGGATGACGTCGTCGTCGAGCATCTGTTTCACTTGAAAACGTATTGCCTCTTGTTCTTTTTGCGACACGCGGTAGGCGTGCTGTCGTACAGGCCGTTCGGTAGGGTCCGTTATAATGCGGTGCTTCACGGTTGGGGTCTGCTTGATTTTGGAGGTGCACGCAAAGCAATCACTATACGTACGTAAAATAATGCATATCTGCTGTTGCTGCGCACAGGATAGCTGGCAATTCACGTCCACCGTACTGGCTATATTAGTGTTACCTTCGGCAGCAGTGGCAATCAGAGCGATAGTGGAACATTCTGCGTCATCGATGGCTTCAAAGTTCGCGATCGCTGTTCGCTTTGCCAAGTGTTGGTACTGGCCGCCAAAATTCGTGATCAGAAGCTGAGTCCTCCGATGTTTCAATTTGACGATAGCACGCGAGACACAAATCTGCCGAGTCAAGAGCACCGAGAAGTTAGTTTCCGCGATGCCACTATTCTTGTTGTCACAGTCGCTCTCCACCGTTACCAACATACTGGCTCGCGGCGGCAGTGCGATGGTGTCGTCAGCAATTCGAAGTGTTGTGGTCGGCGCAACTGCATCCTTTCGTAGGGCTGTATGGTCGTTAGATAACGTTATGTGCAGGTCGCGAAGGTTAATAATGGCTCCATGCTCGCGGAGAAAATCCATTCCGAGAATCAGGTTTTGGGAGCATTCGCGCAATACAACGAAGGAAACAATGTACGTCGACTCACGAATTCGGAGGCGGGCAGTGCACATTCCTAGCGGTGTCAATAGGTGACCTCCCGCAGTCCGGAGGTTGGTTCCATGTCCCCAAGGTGTCGTTACCTTTCTTAGCTGTGCAGCGAGGTCAGCACTTATAACAGAATAATCGGCACCCGTATCTACCAGAGCGGTCAGCGGGTGGTTGTCGACAAAAACAGAGATACGAGCAGAGACCGGTTTGTCGTCGATGGCACACGTCGGTGAAAGAATGTCGTCGGATGTCGGCAGGCAAATCGGGGGAGGGTCTTGTAACGGTCGATCAACAGCGGCCTCACCCCCAGAGGTCGCTGTTCTTAGTTTCCCCGGCGCGGGCTTGTGGATCTAGGTGATCTTCCTGCAAGGACGTCCGCAAAGGTTGATTGTTGGCCAGGTGACGTGGAACGCCGTGGAGATGGTGAGCGGGATTGGCAACGCGGAAGGGTTGAGGATCGTTGGCTTGCCAAGTATTCGGCGATAGCACGGGGCCGCTCGCCATCTCTGGGTCGACGAGCATCCGGACGAAAGCCGGAGAGACCCATGTGTCTGTAGGCGCACTCACGGTAGATGTGACCTGGTTCACCACAGTGATAACATAGAGGCCGGTTGTCGGGAGCACGCCATACACTGGATTTCCGTGTAAAGGGTGGGTTGCCGTACTGCGGTGGTCCCGAGTAGAACGACGGTGCCGTCTGCAGGGTGGACGGACGGGACGGATAGCCAGCAGCCGGTGCAGGAGTACGCAGTGCTTCCGCGTACGTTAATAGCGGAGCTTCGGCTGGATGTGGGGCCGTCATGGGTTGGACTTCGGCTGCACGCAGAGTCGTCATGGGGTGCGCCAGCTGCCGGACCTCTTCGCGAACGGCATTCGTTAAAGCAGCAACATGGGGCGGAGGAGACGCCACGTGCAGCTTTTGCAGCTCCTCACGCACAATACTGCGCACGAGCTCTGTCAGGTCTTTTACAGTCGTGACGTCAGGTGTTTGTAGGGCCGACGACACTGACGAAAGACTGCCAGGACGTTCATACTGGTACGAACGCTGCCTTAGCATTCTCTCCATTGTCGTGGCTTCGCGAAGGAAATCCTCTACAATGCCGGGAGGGTTCCGCACTAGTCCCGCGAACAGCTGCTCCTTCACTCCCCGCATTAGGAGGCGCACCTTCTTTTCTTCCGTCATTGAAGAGTCGGCTCGCCTGAACAGCCGCGTCATGCCCTCAACGAACATGGCAACACTCTCGTTCGGACGCTGGTTTCGGGAATTGAGGAGCCGTTCCGCTTGCTCCTTTCGGTCAGAGCTTCGGAAAGTATTTCGCAACTGGTTGCAAAACTCTGGCCAGGTTGTCATAGTGGCTTCATGGTTTTCGAACCAAGTGCGCGCAGAGTCCTCGAGATAAAAGTAGACGTACCGAAGCTTTCGCTGCTCGTTCCACTCGTTGACGCTGCCGCAACAGTTGTAGTCGTCGAGCCAGTCGTCGACGTCCTCATAAGGGTCACCGTGGAACGGCTTCGGAGTACGCGGGACGTTGAAGAACCATGGAGGAGGCAGCGTTGATGTTTCTTGGGTTTGCGTTCCCGCACTAGCCATAGTACTGCCGAGTTGAGGAAATAGTCCGAATTCAGGAGGTAGGCCTAGTTGTCGCCTGCTACGCCGTAGGTCAGCTGGTTCTTCCAAGTCGCAGCTAGTGTCGGGACCTTGCTGCTGATTGCAGTGCATACACTACCCAGCACCTCCACCAGAAAATGTCACGTGATCACAGAATGACCACAACGTCTGTTCACAGGAGCAGCACTGGACGTCGAGCACACACCAACCGTCCTCTTCTTCTTTCACACTATGGCACATACTCGCATTGGCATGGCTAAACCTCGTTCCACGCCTGTGGCAATATGTGTGCCCGGGTGTTCTATTCTCCATATACTGCTCTTTATTTTGCCTTTAGGATATGTATTCAACTTTCACTCAAGGACTAAGCAGGAGCCGGTGCCTTGCTTCTGTACTAACATATCCTTATATATCATATTAATTAAAAAAAATGGGGGGGGGGGGACACAATGAGCAGCATGCGAATGAAGCAGTGCATGGGTAGAACACACCATGAATTCCCCGAAGTTTATGTTGGTGTTACTCATCCTGAACTCTTGTTGGAACACGCCACACGGGTTCATCGCTACCCCATGCGGGCGCCATCACGGGATGGCTGATAGAGTGTAAGGGGGAGAGGCCGCGGCCTACATCAGACACTTACGCAGGGCCGAAACAGACACGCAGGCTCAAACGCACTAGCGCGTTCCAGTGCGTTTTGACTAGGATACAACGCGTTGATTCATCGTGCACCTGCAGAATTTCAGCCATATGGTTTGCAGGATTTGCCCGCCACCGGCGTTTGCATTCCCGTTTGCGATTCAGAGCGGCTTGGAATGCTGCCAGATCATCAGTAATTTTTCTGAAGATTCGTCTTTAGCTAAGAAGCTGTGTGATGGTAGTGTTAAAAAATCAGTACAAACCTACCATGCGGTTATTACGCAAGCTTGGAAGTTTAGCACGAAGAAACACAGGCTAGAGAGACAGTACAGGTGCTATAGCCAGCATTGTCTCTGTAGTCTGTCCTGGCATTCCTTTAATGCATTTCACAATGCATTCATAACCACCGGCATTTCTTACTACTCAAGCACCATGAAAAAAAAAAAAAAGAAATCACCCACGTTTCGATCGGTGTCGTGCTTGAAAAATGATAAAATTTGTCAGAATTTCCAACACACTTCCAGAAAATTCAAATGGCTAGGTCACCTGCTTTGCGAAAAAAAAAATGAAATTTTTACTTGAATTCACACACATGTTCATATTGGTCTCCATGATGCCCCAGTAGCCAACAACCAGCACTCACACTCTAATATGATTTGGCAACAATGCCTATTACCCCCATCAAATGTGTTTCAGCGTGCCCTATATTTCTCTGAATTTCACGAGCTGTGCCAGCTGTCTATTGCAACATTTTTTCACATAGCAAACTTGCAGAATGAGAGCAGCACACACCTTTACTCATGCTCTATCTTCCTCGCAGCAGATTTGTGCACATGCACGAGACAGTTGCAATGTGTGTGTTGGGTGCTGCTGCAAAAGGTTACAGTACAGGGTGTCCAACTTTCACAGAGCTCCCAAACGCTGATGTGACCTAACTAGCTTCTGGCGGCGCAAAGCGCAGTACACTTCTGAAGTAAGACTTGCCCTAAAAGGGACACTAAAGAGAAACAATGATTCGCTTTAGATTTACAAACCGCACTCTGGGAACTCTAGTGCCCTGTTTCATTATTATACCTTCACGATTAGCAGCGAAAATCAAGGTTAAGTATCATTTTCAAATTTTACGCCAGAATATCCATGTGACTTCAATTTCCAAAATGTACTTTTGGCATTCTCATGGCATTGGCTTGATGAAGCTTTCTGAAACTTCATATGCTAGGTCTATGTCTCCCAAAGAATACAATGTACTTCATTCTTATAGACTCGAAGCTACGCAAGACCTAGTAGATGCCTTTGGGATTCCTTGCATAACGGTGTTGGGTGCGGGAACCTCACGGTGGCACCACCACCTTGAGGTTTCATTTCTTTTCGTGCGTTTTCTCACCAAGCGCTGTGTTGCGGTAAGTGTGGTCTTTTCAGATTTCTGAAATCGTACTTTACTAGTATGCAAAATCGTTTTGCTCTTTAGTGACATTTAAAGTAGAATGAACCAAACACACAACCTCATCGTGAAGTGCAGAACGACCTTTAATACATTAACCCGCCAGTACTAGCTCACATTATGGTACTGTTTCCAACTGAACAAAACAATCAACAGACACTGCTGGGCATTTTTAATGTACAAGAGAGACATGTTCAGATAAGGCGTGGCTGCAGCGTGTGGAGAAGGCACACAGCCGTAGCATGCCAGGCAGTTTCAACTAGGCGAACTGTAGGATTTGTACAGATTTTATTTGCATCTTTGAATTAAAACACTAAAAACGTCACTAAAATATATTGGTTACCAAAAGTTATACGCACAAATGATAATAAAGTGTAGAGCGCTTCTTTGCGCACTGCAGTAGAGAACTACAGCATTACATGCCATAAGTCAATTCATAAAAAGAAAAAAGGCACTCAATACGCGCATTAGAAAAAAAAAGACATACCGCAAGTACTACGTATGGTCCTCTCACATTAGATAAATGAAGCTAAATAAAGCAACAGACTAGAACATTCTCTAGTGAAAAAAAAGTAACCATTATCAGACGTACATTAAATTAAAAAGCAATAAATAAAAACTTTCGTATATTAACTATTAGGTGCGAAAACCCTTCGCAAGGATTAAACTTGAACTAAAACTCCGCATAAGTATCACAGTGCCTATTCATCGTCGGCGTCGTTTCGGGCTGCCGCCACAGCCGGGCGCTTGCGGCTTGGCTCCGGCATTACCATGATGTTCACGTGCTGGAGAGCATCGATGGCGGGCAACTCGAGTGGAGTGAGGAACACAAACTGGTTGGCAGATTTCCTCCTAGTCATCTCGAGAATCATCTCGAGGCTCACCCTCCTCTTTCCCATATCCTGCAGGAAAAAGGAAAGTTGAAGAAAATCAAGTAAAGTAAATTTTAAAGGGCCTCTAAACCACCCAGAGGGCGAAATTCAGTTGTGGCGGCGAAATTGTGCACGAGTGTACGACGAACACGGAGCCATGAGATTTTTTTGCAACAGTGCAGTAATAGTGGAGTTCGATGCGTTTGATTATTGAAACCATGACAACCATACTTTTTGCTCTCTCCTGCGCTTCCCTTCGCTGGTATTCTCTCTCATGCCACTTTCCCTCTCCCCGAGCGCCCCTCCCGCGCCCCTCCCGTGCCCCTCCCAATCTCGCAAGGCATACGTCATCGCTGACGCGCTGCTTGAAACACCGTCTACTTCCGGTTGTCACGACTCCGGCCGACGCTTCTGTTAGTTGCGTGCTTGTCGGCGAACCGTGGCGCACGCCTTCAAAGAATTGGCAACGCAATGGACCCATACGGGAACACGCCAAACAACAACAAGCAGCGCAGACACCTGCTTGCAGACTGAGCAGAAGTCGTAGACTCTTGCTCGACCAGTCACAGCATATTTGGCATATTTGTCCCAGCGCATCAGAGAAGTGGCACGGCGCGTCACGCGGAGGCCCGCAAAGCCCGGAAAGAAGGAGGGATTGTTTTTTAAATTTGTGGCGCGCCGGCGGCTTGTAGTGTTGCCACATGTAGAATCATCGATCGCGACAGCATTCTGCACACAATGCGCACGTTTACTTAAAATCCTTAAAAAAATATCGGAAGTGGTTGATGAGCCCTTTAAGAATTCGTTTTCTTCATTAGACACAACATTAAAGAGAACTAACAGGCAATAATACCAGAGAATGTATAGGTGATGTCTCCTAACAAGCTTATGGCAGTGTTTTCGTGTTTTTTTTGTGCCATAAGCTCGTTAAGAATGAACCAACTCGCCCAACAAGTCACTCTGCTGAATAGGGGATGTTGTTATAAGTAATTATAACGTAAATGAGAAGAATGAAAGTGCATGAAAAAATAACCTGCCACCGGCAGAATCCGAACCTGTGACCTTCACATAGCGTGTTCAAGGCTTTACCACTAAGCTACAATGGCGGTTAGAGAAGTGGATGCTCCGAGGTACAGCACTCACCGATTAAAACGTGAAAATTTAGGGCTAATGTATTGCCTGCATAGGTAAGCAAACTCACTCATGAGTTGACTTACTCGAACCCTGGTTGAATTGCAAGTAATATTTTGGTAAATTTGAGTGCAGAGTGAGTCCGAATGAGGAAAACTTCAAGTTCAAGTGAAATCTATTCAACAGAAATTTTGAGGGGCACAAGTCAAAGCGAGCCCTACGCAAAAAAACATATTTCCTTAGCGAGCCTAAGCGGGCTCCACATTTTTAGCCGACCTATGAGAGCATTTACTTTTGTTTTCAGCATCTATACAGTTCACATCATACCGGCACAATTTTCACTTTAGGCACACTTACATCGGAGCCATCGTTGCCTTTAGTATTGAGTTTTGTAGCAACATAATGCGGTCAACATGTAAAATGAATCATAGTAGTGATACTAATGAAGCACTCGGAAAATGATATTCACATCCTCCTAGAGCACACTGAAGAACCAAGTTGAATTTACGTTCAAGGTACCAGAATAATTCCACAAAGCAATATGTTGGAGTGAGTTGGCCTTTAGCATCCATATTTAAAGCGAGAAACGACACCACAGTGATGAAGGCACGCAAGGCAAGTCTTCTTTACTGTGTTGTCTCTTTGCTGTAAATGTGGACACCTGAACAATTATTACGATGCTTTTTATGGAGAGCTAGAAATAGTTCGATTCATTGCAAATCTCACGAAGAAAATAATCTTAGGAGCACTCCATACTTCACTCGGATAATGCAAGAATAAGGATGTCATGCACTTGGGTGCTTCTCCGATATATTGAGCGATTTTTTTTTTAATATACTGAGTGAACGAAATACTAAGTAGGAAAATTGCACTTTGTGAAATAACACTATGTGGTAATCAGCAGAAGTATAAACAAACGTTGCGACATACAACAGTGCCTCATTGCTAAAGAGTCGCACTGTCGCTAGTGCCTTTCCTTAAGACAACTCAAACACGAAAGCCAGGCTGCTTTTCTCCTCGATTGACTGTACTGCTGGGCGCAACATGACATCACTTAGCTGCGCTCAGAAAACAAACTTTTTCCGCCACTGCTTTCCCTCCCACTGAGGCCTCTCTGTGCTGTAAGCGTTGCATGGTCGCAAGAGCAATTTTGCAGTGCTTCCAGAGAATCGCTTACACATGCGCCGGGTCACCTGGAAGATGGAGGTATGTTCTATGCTGAGCATAAGCCAATCTGTCAGAAAGTGCATTCAACGAAAGACTACGTGATATACCAATCTTCGTTTTCATATTACAACGAAGTTGTATATGGCTATGACATTCCTCAGAATCTTCTAAGGAGCAGTGCAAAAAAAAATAGCGCACACTGAATGTTGACAGCCCGACCATTAACAACACGGCCTTGCATACCAAAACTGGCCTTCACTATGTCTTACAATCAAACTTCACCAAAACGAAATTGCAGCTTACACGAAAATAGGTTCGATATTATTTGAAAATTTGTAATAAATGTTTTTTTCCAATACTGCCTATTACAAGACTGTAGTTCACTTACTTCATTATAACTAATACTTCATTATATCAGGGTTCATTAAATCGATTAATTGTATGAGCCATGAGCGAAGCAGCTTTGCTGGCCTAGTTGTCCAGCTTGCAGAGTAATGGCCCATCATTTTTCAACAGCGAAGCTGGTTACATTAGAATTAACCAGTGCTCTGTTGTGCAAAACTCCACAGGAATTGAGCAAGTGCCACTACCGAGTACAGCATATGCAAGTGTTAAATGAAAACTCTGCTTGGTGAAGTGGAGCACCTGTAACACGTAAAAGAGAGAGAAAGAATAAAAAAAGAAAAAGAAAAAAAGCTATAAAATGTAAGATAAAGAGAAAACTAGAGAAAACTAGGGGACTAAAGACAAAAATATAACAAAAAATGCATTGAAAGAGAGAGATAGAAAGCAACAAGGCATGAAAGAGACATAGGAAAAAGAGAGAGCCAGACAAATGGAGAGAAAGAAAAAGGCAGAGAATGATGCATAGAGAAGGAGATAGAATGACGAAGTGGGAAATAGAGAGAAAGGGAAGAGAAAGTTGGACGTGCTGGTGATGCACTTGCCAATGACCGCCATCACCAAACCAGAGACTCTTGTGCAACTTTGTGCAATTCACTTCGGGTTTATCAGAATGGTGCAGCAAATTCAATAAGGTGCACTTTGGCACAAATGTGGCATCACAGGCTCACTCCTTTAGCATTCTATCTAGTGCAACTAATTGAAATGTTGACATAAGGAGACCTGGCTGCTGCAATGAATGAAGCAACCTTTGTGCCTTCTATCACTTGATGTGTACAAAGATATGAGATAGCATGTGCAGGTCGCTGACCATTTATTTGGAAAGCGAATAATGAAGAGTTCGAAAAAAAAAAGGACTTATGGTAAAAAAATTCTCTTTATTAGTCCTGTGGCCAATAAAAAAACATGTCAATGCACATTTTGCACACAAGTATGATCACAGATGACCGAGTCTGCCTGCATTTCAGCCAGTGTTTGGCCATAACTGTAGGTTGTAGAACTGTTATGGCCCACACTAAAACCGCATTGAAAGGAACACCCACACAAAAATTTTGCATCGTCTTTCTTTTTTTTTTTTTTTTTGCAATAGGTAGTTTGTGGCCCACTTATCATTGCTAGAAACCTCGCTTGCACAAGTGCACAACGGTTATTTATTTCAGAGACGTTGTTGGAGTACTCAGCCACAGTTTCAGTTTCAAAGAGCACCCGGCTAGGCAGAAGAAGACCCATTGGCGAAGTGAACACCGCTGCCCATGTGACAGTGCAAAACTGACGCGGTGGCACGCGCGAGAACATGCGCTGGCGAGCACTACCCTGGCAGCCAGCAGTCAGCACACGCAAAGTCACTAGGAACAAAGGAAGAAATCGCAGGTAGCATAATAAGTACAAGGCGCACACCAAGCAAACACAAAATACAAACTCGTGATGTAGGTGTGTTGACACTCTCGCCGCGTTGATGCCGGTGTCGCAAAGGGCTCCACATCTCACTCAGTAGGGCGGCATGTACTTTAAAATTGACTAATTATGTTGTAGGCTTTATTTGCCCTTAATATTTCTTAGATGTGCATGTCACTAGATAAATTTATCTCACTCACTTATCTCGTATTCAAAACTTTGTGTCAGTGTGTTGCTTTAAAACATCGATGCATGTGCATTTCCTCGGAGTCACTGTTCACGTGTGCTAGGTCGGGGAGCCGACAGACGATCTCAGTATTACCCAACTAGTGAAAACTCCCAGGCAACACGGCCTTGAGGTCGGCCACTTTCCATCTGGCGAATGTTGGCGGCTTTTTTTTTTTTTTTTTTAAATCATCAGTGTCTTGTACTTGCCGCGTTTCTTCGTTAGTATCAACGGCGCAGATGAAACGGGTGGCGCCAAAGCCATTTCAGTAGATCTGGCTTCACAAAGTCAAGCAACAAACGAAAGAGGAAGACGCAGGTCCAGCCTGGTTGCAGAAGCTATTGACAAGCGAGTTCCGATATGACAAAAGGGAATGAAGACAGGCTAGTTCGTGCCACAGCACTCTTGATTCTGTCCAAACTTTTCTATTCCTTACGCGCGGCCATTTCGAACGACACAACAAGCTAGCAGCAAATATGGCTTGGCTTGGCTTGCAGTTTGGTTGTGGTTGTAAACATTTGCCGATAGCTGGTCATAGTGTTCAATCAGCCAGCCACTCAATCAGCCAGCCAGAGTCCAAAAAATCGAACGGCACCCCGTGTGGTGTCCGAATTCGCGGTCATTAGTTTACATTATTTTAATGGGACCAGTGGCAATGCCCCGATTGTGTTCGAATAAACAGGCACGTTCGAATGTTCAGCATCTGAATAAACTGTCGGCGACTGTACAAAGGTAAGAACAGCCTGTACAAAGATAAGAACATCAACAAAAAGGTGGTGTAAAATGACCTGGCTGCTGCAGTGAATAAGCAACCTTCGTGCCATTTTAAACACAAACTGCTCAGCAAGGCAACAACATATACAAAAGTATGTGGTAGTGCGTGCAAAGGTACGAGCAGCCTGCTCATACCACATCCAGTCGGTCAATGTACACAGTTCCTGTTGCAGCGACGTACATCACATAGATGCAGGATGCGGCACAGCCGCTAGCCACAGTTCCTCATTTGCTCATGCTGTTTTGTTTGTTATGTTAGTTCACCAATTCAATCGACTTTCTATCTTTACAGCAAACTAGCTATTTTGAAGTGGAGCTCTCAATGCTTACCATGAAGATGTCGAACTCATCCATGATGCTGAACGGACACTCCATAGCTTCCCAAAGGGCAAGCATAAAGCAGACGGTCGAGAAGGAGCGCTCCCCACCTGACAAGGCTTTCAGGTCCTGGTGAACGTTGTCTCCACTCACACCTTCCTTGGGCTCCACCTGCATTTTCAAGGGGACAGAAAAGCGAAACACTAAGTCAGTGAAAGCTGATAAACTATTCGTTGACAACTGTATCATTGTGAACTTGGCGATCATCATTACAAGATGGGTAAAATGAACATATAAGTTCCATGTTTTATGGAAAGACGCAAGTCTTGGAATAACCAAAAATTTATTTTGGAGATGTTTATACTTCTGAGCACCTACCCTCAAAAGCCTAATGCTTGAGGGGGGATGCTACACTTTCCAAAAACTCTTATTTTTTTTACAGTATCTCAGTAAAATTTGGAGAGCTTATGTAGATTTTACTACTGATTCCAAAATGTAATTCAGTTTTTGCTGTCACCAATAGTTTTAGAGATATAATGAAATGCCACTATTTCAATTAAGGTAGTAACTTGCAGATTGATGTGCAACTCATAAAAGCAATTCAGAATGTTCACAGTGTGCAATAAAGTATAAATAGTTGTTCTAGGCAAACCAAGTACGAAAGAAAGTTGTGGGATGTTGAATATGACATGAAAAATTTCCCCATCTACACTTGAAACAAAAGATCCAGTTAGAGAATTTTCTCAGAAAATTAGTATCATAAAACTTACTTTACAACTCACCCCTGCACTTATCTTTGAAACAAAAAAGAAATAGTAATAATAATCCAGATAGAACAAGAGATATTGCTCTGGCATAAGAAGCGCATGAAAATGTCGTTTTGAGAAATCAAGAAAAAACGTGGGCACACATTTTATTGCAGAAGATGCAACAAGACAACCTCAAAATGCACCAGAAGCATAGTCTGAATGCATTCTGTGCTCATGCCCCCTCTTCACTAGCTTCTGGAGTTCCAATGAGGCTGTTCTTTTCTTGTTGGACGATGCTGCCACACTTTTTTTTTTTCTCGCTCTCCTGGCACCAGTGCTTGCCGCATTCATGTCCATTTCACCTAAGATTGCCGTTTCACAATTCAAATCGCCCGTATTGAGGCGTAGCACTGCTTCTGCAATGGCTGCTTCCACAGCGAACAGGGTGCATGCTGCTCCTTGGGGGCCAAACTCTAGATTACCAAATGCAGGCTCTCGGAGTTCTGCGTCTTGCTGCGTTCCCACCTCTCAAGTAGGGCCCTTTCCGAAAGCCGGGTATAAACTGGTACGTAGTAATGCCTCTGCCACGTCTTTCTGTAGATTGTAAGCATGCCTAGGGTCAGGCTCACCCTCTGCTTTTGCGACATTGTGCCGACACCATGAACTTTCACCAGCTGGGCACAGACTGTGGTCCGAGCATTTATCAGTAGAGGTGACGTGGCGGTATGTGGCCATCCCAGCCATTTGCATCGCGCCCAAGCCATATTCATGCGATCTCGGAGCACGGCCATAATATGTGCTCAGCCTGGTGATCAGCTCATTTGTGAGCCTGCCTTTCCCACTAAGGACTCTTTTCCCATCGCACTTTTGTTTCTGCACCAGGTTTCTCAATGTGGTGCCTATTTGCTTGTGCACATGATTTATGCAGTCTTCCTTCTGTACGTAAATGTAACCATACACCTTGGCGTCTTGTATGGCGCAAAATGTCCGAGAGACATAAGACAGCATAGCTGTGTAGCGCAGGCCATGGCATTCAAGCGATCTCTGAAATAGAATTGGAGCCGGCTCCACTTACATTTGTCCTGCTTTGCTGTTCGTATTTTTTTGGCATTTATGGTTAGCCTTCCATACTTGATAGCCCTCACTACTAGGTTTTGGGCCCACCTCGCAGCCTGGGCAAAAGTTTTAAAGAACGATGTAGTCCAACACGTAGCCACTAAATAATTCAATAACTGTGCCGACGCTGATCCTTGCGTCTTCCACGTGCCGTCATAGCTAACAGCAATATTGCCCCAATGGCCGAAGCACAAGTCATTATAAATTGTAGAAACCTTTTCCGCACATTCACTCATAGCACACTCAGCCACTCGTGTTGCAGCAGTGGCCAACGTATTCTTCAAATGGCGCTGAAACGTCTTGTGGTGCTTACCGCAGTGCGAGATGCCCATCGGCGCGAAAATATTCATTTTCGTTTGCTCGTTGCCGATTCACTTCAAATGAATTGCACGTGTTTGTGCCACTTGTGCAGGGCGAAGTCCATTTATTCGCGATTTCACCACCTTTCACACTGCACTAACACTTTAACAGCAAGTCCGTAGTTTTGATCCCCTCTGACGATCGTAGCTGGTCCGTGGCAAGTTTTGCAGCACAAAGCACCCATTATCGCCTTTAGCATATCTAGATGCATGAGCAGATAAGGAGTGCCGTCGTCCGAGTCCTAGGCGGCTGCCTCGCTACAACTTGGGGTAAAAGAGTCAATTTTCCGTGCTGTTGCTGGCGCCGATGAAAGCTGCTGGAGCGTAGCTTTCTCACGGGCACGATTTTCTTCGACTTCAGCGTCTGTCACCACCTTGGCGTCGATTCGTAGTTGCCCAGAGTTCGCTTCCTTGTCATCGTGGTCGGAGGGAACGCGCTCAGTCGCACTATTGCTGACCAGCTGCGGAGCGTCAACACATCGTTCGTCGGAGTCAACCAAGGGCTCTGATGACTTCGTGGACTTTCTCCTGCGACCTTTGCGTTTCCTGCGACCAAATGTGTACACGATTTCATACTTCTTTGCGTTTCCGGGCATGCCGATATGATTAGATTAGAGGTTTCTGAAAGCTCTGCCGATTTTACGAGGCGTCACAGTGGTAACCCTTTTAAAATGGCACCTGGTCGCGTATGCAGGCGCAAGCCGCAAGCTTCCAGCCAACCCGAAAGCGCCATTTTAGTCACGTGTGCTGTTTAGCCAATGGCAGTGAGCGCGACTTCATATCTGAGGCCCCGTTTTTTGAACCGAGGGAAACACTCAATGTTGCTTACTGAATAATAATAATAAAAAAAAAAAACAGGTCAAAAGCGCTCTTTCAAACAAGACCAAAATGGCGCCGATCGAGCGCTTAGTTCCCGCGTATCGTAGAGCCAAAATCTGCGCTATTCGCCCTTAATTTAAAGGGCAGGATGCCCGTTCTCAATTTTTTTAAAAGTTAAATAACAATAAAAGTTGATGGTATTCGGCTGTGAAATTTCGTAAATAGGTGCCCAATGATGCCAGGAACGCGAAAAGAAAGTTTGCAAAAACTCAATTTTTGGCTGATTTTCAGTCCTGAAGTGTCGCGTCCCCCATTAATTCGGTCGAGAAATGCTATAAAATGAACCTTCAAAGCACCCCGGCAACAGTAAAATGCCCCCAAAAGAATAAAATTTGTTAAGTTCGCAAGCGCCCCATGCGCGTTGCAACAGGCTGAGCACTACCATATTGAGCAAGATTTGAAGCCGTTTCCTTTGTGCCATGGAGGAAGGAATATACTGAGGAGAGGCCGTTACATCACATTTTGTGAAGCCGGAAGTAGGGAAGAGTAGAGGACTCCTTCGTGCAATGTGGGTCGCACTACAGACGCTCGCGCATGCGCAACGGAACTAGCGAGGAGGCGAGCCACACGAGCAGATTTAAGACACGTTGTGCGGCACCGCTAACGCCATCTGATAGACGAGCTGAAAAAAGGGAAACTTTTGTGCTGATTACCAGCAAATGAGCTGAGATACTTGTACAGCGCTTGTGCACCATTCATAGCCTCGTTACAGCTCATATCAGCTCCGAGAACGAACACTTCGGTTCCGCCGTCAGTTATGTCAAGCAGTGCTTAAGACTTCAAGCCACTGAGATCGCATGACTGAAAGCCTAGACACGATAGCCCTCTCCGGAATCGTCCACGTTAACCGGCGCCCATTGAAATACTCAAATACTGTACCGTTGAAATACCCATTTAAATACCGTATTTACTCGCATAATGAACGCACTTTCTTTTTTCCAAATATTGGAGCAAAGTTGATTAATTGATTAATATTGGGGTTTAATGTCCTAAAACCACCATATGATTATGAGAGACACTGTAGTGGAGGGCTCCGGAAATTTTGACCACCTGGCGTTCTTTAACGTGCACCCAAATCTGAGCACACGGGCCTACAAAATTTCCGCCTCCATTGGAAATGCAGCCGCCGTAGCCGGGATTTGATCGCGCAACCTGCGGGTCAGCAGCAGAGTACTTTAGCCACGAGACCACCGCGGTGGGGCAGAGCAAGGTTGAGGGGCTGCGTTTATTATGAGGAGTAAATTTTATGAAAACTTTTTCAGGAGGACCAAACAATATGGTAATGCAAAAAAAAAAGTTGAATCGCTTAGCCTTCCGCAATTGACATACGCATTACACTGTTTGGAAACAGCATCTTTGTTGCACTTTACTCATCTTCAGTGGTTGACGGCGCGATCTTCTGCAAGCTGTCCCTGCGCTGCCTGAGCACAGCAGCGCACGCCATAAAAGTATTTTGCAGCAATCTTTTTTCGCAATCGTTTTACCGCAACAGTCGCATCTGCTGTGATCTTGAGGGGTGCCCAAAAGCATGTGCTACGACGCTGCGACGCACTTGGCCAACTTTGCGGCAACCTCACATGAAGATCGTGGCGATGCCTTTAACATTGCAGCAAGTAATCAACATTGCAGCAAGCTACCCCCAAAGCATCAAAACAAATCAATGATAACAAGATCAACGACAAACTACAGCCGCTGCCTCACTTCTACATGAGAAGTTCCTGTAAGTGCGGATAACAAGCGAAGCAAGAACTGGGGATGCTACCGTGTTGCAGAAATCGTCAGAATTTTTTATGGATGACAAGTGACTTTTTCTAAATTTCCAGAAACCTATCACGAGACAGCGACGAATGACCCGTGGGGACAATAAATCCTGTCGTCGCTCAAAAATTGTCTGCACGTGAATGGGCTTTTACGTATTCGCAGGAAGCGACTGTTGGTAAGCGCGGGCAGTTCCGTGACCTTCACTCACTGTGTGCTTGTCAGCTGCGATATCTCTACACTCGCATTGTTCGTGAACCCCGCTGCGGTGCACAAATAAAAAAGACGTGCTGCGCCCAGATACAAAGAAAAACAATACGGCACGCGGCAACAAGCGAAAGAGGTGAGGGGACGAGCCGAGATGGCCGAGGGGGGGCGGCATAATAATAAAAAACAGAAGAGATCCAGAAGAATGGGACATCCGGAAGTCATCCAATTTTTATGACTGAAGTTGGCGGTGCGTTTATAGGGTATACATGCGTGGAAATACGGTATACACAGTTTTGCCGGGACCACATCACAAGTCTGAATTGACTGAATTTCGGAGTTAACGAGATCTGGATAAACAAGCTTTTACTGCATACCTGCCAAGTTCGAGGATTCTGAATCCGGGAGATTTTCGCTACGAGGGGCGGGGGCACCAAAAAAAAAAAACCAAGGACAAACAAACAAAAAACATTGCGAAAAACAAAAGAGGGGGGGGGGGGGGGTCTCTTATCACAAGCGCCAACACCAGCGTTGCAGTCTTATAGTGGGTAGGAGTAGCCGAACACACGAGGATAGAATTTTCACTAAGAGTCCCAAAGGATGAACACAACTAGCTGAATTTATTTATTTCGGTCAAAACAACTCGCGTGTGTCTTTTGGGAAAGTGAACGGACGGGACGGCACAGCTGGCTGCCACAAAAGCGCTGGTAAAAGCTTTGCTCACTACCAGATTCTTTTGACAGGAACACCAACACGCGTCTGGCCCCTTTTTATTGTGATAGCATTTATATGGACAGTCCAGGCTGTTTGTTTTTTGCCGTCACCACCACCACCGTCCTTCACCGTATATGTATACGAATCTATATATATGAACACTCAAAAGAAAAAAGTGCCCACGCTCAATGCGCTGACACCTGCTTATCTCTCATGTGTACTTTACCCCATGGATGAGGGGAAAAGGGGCGGGGTAGATTCCTGTGCACGCGCGCCTATCCTTTGGTGGGGGAATCGTGTGCTTTCGGCTTTCACTGGAACGAAAGCATTAGTTGTCGGGCCCACAAAGGTCACTTTGGTTTCTGTACAGGCCTCTTTTGCGAAAACAGCGCGCTTCTCATACACAGCGAGGTATAACAACTGGGACACTTGTTAATTTGTACTCATCGGTACCTGTAATTTCGTATCACGCATCGTTTTTGTTTAAACAGACCTTTACGTGTCGAGCGGTAAACATAGTTAGTTCGCTCTCGTCCTGCGGGCATCGTTTTCGTGCGTCATTTGTGTGTGAGCAGCATGCTGCACGTTTTGATCTGCTTGCCGTTCTCACCGTTACATTCCAAGTTATTGCTGTCACATTTATTGCTTCGTCCTTGCGACCAAACTGCAACATTTTTTTTATTTTTATGTATTTAATGCTTTTAACCTACCGCTGCGTGCCCTCCAAGCTCGTAGATTGCTTTTATGTCGCCGCAACTGTGGTTTTGTGCGAGGCAGTTGCGGCAAACGTTATTTCACTTCACAATCCCTATGCGCAAAACTAAGTCGTTTTACGCTATCTACAATAGCATCTGCCGCAGAGTTTGCGGAAAGCCGCGTTGCTTTAACTAGTTCAGCACACACTTTCGGGTTTTTGTCAGTTAAGTCCTCGCCATACATGATTGTGTCAAAAACGATCGCATTTTCGTCCACAGCTGTTGTGGCAACGACAATCACACGCCGGTCGCACTCGTACTTTTTGACGCTTTGAGTACGCTGCTCTCGGCCTTCGTTCAACAGTTTCCGTACTAAAGTTCGTATCACCCGCCGCGATTAGGAAATGTGTTTGGGACATTCAAATTGAGGCCCAATGAACATAGTAAAATTTGGCTGGGAAATTTCAAGAATTCCTATCTGCCGCAGTTTCGCATAACTGAGATTATACTGTACGTTTAGATGAACGACTCTTAAACTCATTTATAATAAAATAGGGTAGGTTCGAAAAGCCTGGAGTGGAATGAGCTGATTTTTTGTCAATCCGGCCAGATCACACACAGAAACTTCGATTTCTGGGAGATTTTCATGACAACTGTACAACCGGAAAAAACTATCAGAATCCGGAGCTCCAGGCTAATCCGGGAGACTTGGCAGGCATGTTACTGTATAGGCGTTAAAGACACGTGTGTTCGTACAATGTTTATGTTAACCACATCTTAGATTTTTCTTTTTTTTTTTTCCCCCCAGAGAAGTGCCCAGCTTTACACTGCAATTCGTATGCCTCCAATCGGAGCAGTTGCCAAGTGTGCTCAGTGCTGTGATCGGGCCATGAGCGGCTCACCCTGATTGTAAGGTGCTGCTTGTTGTGATCAATATCCAGGGTCCCCTTGAAGTTCTGTTGCAGCAATGTTGTTCCAAAGACGAGGCGCAGACGCATCACTGTCTGACGGCAAATCTCTGCGTACCTGTCATGTCGAACGTTCAACATTTCCTCGAGTTCCTGCAAATGCAAAAACAAAACATAGAAAGGTGCGGGCAATGAAGGTTTTTCTGTGTGGCCAGGACACATTCTTTACCGCCAAGTTCTGAGTGTTTGTCTTGTGCTTCTGTGTCTCCTGCATCATTGTGTAATTGATTTGATTGATATGTGGGGCTTAATGTCCCAAAACCACCATATGATTATGAGAGACGCAGTGGTGGAGGGCTCCAGAAATTTCGAACCACATGGGATTCTTTAACGTGCACCCAAATCTGAGCACACGGACCTACAGCATTTCCGCCTCCATTGGAAATGCAGCCGTCGTTGCTGGAATTCGATCCCGCGACCTGAGGATCAGCAGCCGGAGCACCTTAGCCACTGGACCACCGCGGCGGGGCTGCATCATTGTGTAACTACATCTGTTTCGTTCCAACCGAGTTGTTATAGACAATACAGCCCACAATCACACAATGGTTTACAAGGTGCCCACATGCAATAGAACTAATCTCAGAGACTAATCATGCTGGTGGGCTGGCATTAAAACATTGTAACTTGTGGTCTGTCCTGCGATGGAGGCTTCTTGCGATACCGATATGCAGAGCAATGTTGTGTCGTGCAACCCATAGTGGGATACAAGCACATCAGAGCATTTAAGTTTGCCTTATTTGCCACTGGGTGAAGCTAGCTAGGCCTCCAAAAAAAAAAAAAGAGCAAGAAATCACGAACAAAACGTGACCAAGATGGCGGCACTCAGGGGAGAACTGCATGCGTGCGAAGTTAGGGCATTTTTGACAATCGGGCGCTCCTCAAGTGCTGCCTCAACTAGCTAAATAGTTTACTTGAGGTTATTTTCGTGCGAATTCAGCGCTAATATTTAAAGAGGACGTAGTTTATAGATTACACTGACCAAATATACTGTTTTCTACCAAATATACTTTTTGGACATTTTTTCGGTTTTCAAAAGCCGGCGTCCCCCCTTAAGCCTCTAAACAACATCTCAGCCAGTGGCAGATCCACCCACTCATTTTAGGGGGGCGGTAGCTCAAGGTAAAATTGGTGAAGAGGGGGGGACTTTGTTTTCAGTAACTACTGTCAGTGCAAGAACTCCATCCCAGCCAAAATACCGTTAATTTCTGTCCACAATGGTCCCATTCGTTATTCTAATCAGTGATAGGAGGTGAACGACATGCAATAAAATGAGGGGGTGGGAGTAGACAGGCTTTGGGAGAGAAGGGGGGGCAAACACCCCTACCATTCCCCCTCTAGATCTGTCACTGGTCTCAGTACATGAGGGCAGCCAAGGTACTAAGCAGAAATGTCATGGGCATCATTTATTTACTATTTGATTTCTGTTCGAATAAAATCGAAGAAAGGTTTCAATGAAAGAAGGTTGAGTACGTTATAGGGTTGGCGCGCAACACGGATACAAAGGAAGAGGACAATACAACACAAATGCCACTATTGCCTTATTTCGTTACACTCTATCCACGACGAGTTTTACAGAACACAGCCAATCTACAAAAAATGCACGTTGGCTGCACTTGGTTTCAGTCCAACTTTATTGTATATCGTGTAAGTTGAAATTCTTTACATACAAAAAAATTGGGCACATTATAAAAAAAAATTTACTAAAAGGACAGGAAATTTTCCATATGCACCACAACATAAACATTCTACTCATGTAGATGCAAATTTCGAAAAAACACCGCGTTTTGTGGGCAAAGATAGTGTTGCAAGAATACTGACCAAAATCAGATAAAACAACATAAGATCGAGAACAGTAACACCAAAAGGCGTACTCACCGACACAAACGCTCGTAGCTCCTGAACTCTGTCCTTGACGTTTGCGTACTTCGCGACGGATGACTCGTACTGTTTGGCTATTTCGTCCTTGTTGCCCTTCCTGTATCCACAAGTTTACAGACAGAGCCGTTGTGCAACAAGATTCAGCAAAAATCATATAAAACGACTAGGCTTGTGCAAATATTCTAATGGTGCAAATATTTCAAAGAATAATGTCGTATTAGAATTCACTTTGAATCGAATTTAAAATATTGATAATTTCAAATTATTCGAGACAAACGAATAGATGCATATTATTAGTCTCCTTGAGTCACCTTGTGAAGGTGGTTTAACAGTGTGAAACAGTGAAAACACGTATCCAAGAAAAAACCGCACTGCCGCGAAGCCCTACTTCAAGGTTAAATGAGGATATTGCTCCCACATCAATTCATTTTTTTCAGTTTAAAAGCTTGGTATTCCTACTTATATGCTTCAAGTATGTATAGCAAATTTTAAAGGGGCCCTGCAACACTTTTTGAGCATGGTAAAAAAATGCTGCCAATCGGTAGTTGAGGCTGCTGAGAATAAGCGAAGCAAATAATATAGCGCAGCACACGGCCTGGAATTCACAATAAATTATGAAAGTCAGCTGAAAATTGCTTCCTCCTCTCTAGACAAATCACGGAATAAGCCCAAAAATCACTCGTAGAAAGTCTATCTATCAGCCATTGGCTGATTTGAACATGGCGCGCTTGGTTGTTGCAGAGATTGCCGCGGGAAGGCCGCTACTTGTCTATGCAAGTGCGCGCAATGACACTGAAAAACTCGTGCATTAAAAGAAAAATAAAAGGAAAATTGCTCAAGGTCAGGAGCCGCACGTGACGTTTTCAGTTTGCTCCTCCCATCCCTCCCTGCTCAGCTTCCAGCGCTTTCTCCGGGACAAGAGAAGGGAGAATGCGATTGCAGCGTGTGATAAATCTTTGTAACTCCGCTTGTACAGGACAGATTCTTAAAATGTTTGCGGCGTTAATTTTAAAAGCGGTAATGCCCTTTTCGAGTGGCTTAATTTTATGGTTACTTAAAAAAGTATTTCAGCGCCCCTTTAAATGTAACATATTTTACAAGCGAATGCTTGCATTCTAGCGAAAGTCAAATTATGTTACTATTCAAAGTTCCTGCCGCTTTCTTTGATGCAAAAAACAAATTGTGCAGGTTTGTTAGGTCATGACAAATATGCCTATTTTTCTTTATAATACACGGTATGCAATGCCAGAGCTATTCGAATTCGATTCGAAGTTATTCAACCAAAATCGTTATTCGCTTCAAATTCAGTTCGAACCTGAAATTCACTATTCGCACAAGCCTGAAAATAACCAAAGATGCACAGATGAAACAATCCATAAACAGGGGTTGTGTCGAGCCAATGTTTCGACAAGAGGAATCGTGTTCCTCAAGGCTAGAACAGAACAGAAACATGTACAGGGTGTTTCTTCCAAAGTGTTGATGCAACACTAGAACAGAAGTCAACCACAGTTCCGGCACTGAACTCACTTGTCAGAAATGATGGCAGTACATCGTCACATTAGACATTAATGCTAACCTTTTTACGATGCACGCATCGTCGTACACAACAGCACTGCCTTCTTTGGCCCCCTAATGCTACCGCTTGCACAGCCACTACAACTCGAAGAGGTGCAGAAAACTGTGTACTAACTGCCAAGCATGATTAATAATCGAATGATTTGTATGTTATTAAATAAAAATTCAAGTGCATCTTGGACTCACTACCTCAGTGACTGCTGCAAGCTTTGATGCCCTGACTAGGGACTCCAATTAGTACTGCAGGGATGCTGACCCACTAGAGGATGGTCTTTCTAGCAACCCGTTTTTTTTTTTTTTCCTAAATAAATGTTTACTACTACTACTACCATCAGCAACCTCTCCTGCTTTTGCATATGTTTCAGTTTTTGCTCTAATCATACCTCTGTTTTTCAATGTCCCGTCACACTTTTGTGCTCAGAGCGGAGAATGGTTGAAGGCAAAATGCTGCTGCTTCGGCACTGCCAGTTTCAACTGACAACCTTAAATTGACATAGCAGGCTTTTTTTATTCTGATTTGATAGTTCCACTGCTCATGCAACGATATACACAGCAGAAACATCCACTCATAATGATAATAACATACAGAAGCTTAATCACATTCATGTGCAATCACAAAGCATTAGGCATCATCACTTGCCTCCTTTCTTCCACTTGCAACTGGCTCTCTAGAGCTTCAATTTCTGCCGTAATGGCGGCCGGCTTCCTTCGAGACGAGATACGCTCAGACGAAACTTCGAGCGCCTTCTCTGTCAGTTCCTGCACACAAAATCATTGTTACAAGGGAGCCCAGTAAAACACCACTTGAACAAACACTAGTCAAATGAACTATCCAGTTGTACAAACTACAGTGCAGTCCACTTATAACGATATCGAGAAAACCTAAAAATATGATCGTTATAACCGGTGATCGTTATATCTGGACTGCCGCCAAAAAATCGTCGCCGGACGTACCTTTTGTAGCTCCAGGCTTCATTTTGCTATTTTCACCAATTAATAAATATTGTAGATAGTAGGATGTCAAAAACAAGACTTCATTTCTTACTCCGAAGAACGCATCACGGGTTCGCTGAGAAAGAGACTGACCGACGGCGGGGTGGGAGTAGTGGGAGGAAGAAAGCACAGCCAGAGGTACACAGCCGGAATGCCAACGAGGCCCCGCCCCCATGCCGCCGCGCCGCTTTGCTTTTCGCTTTTTTTATTTTCTCTCTCTTTCCCGCTTTCGTTCGGCAAGCTACGAGTAGCTTGCCGGCTTGCCGTTGTAGAAGGCGGGGAGCCGCGGAGCGCCGCGCTTTGCTTTTCGCATTTTTTTTTTTAAATTTTCTCAGCCTCTCCGTGGTCGACGCGCGGCGAGGCGCAAAACGTGACACAGCTGGCGCCATCTGTAGCGCGTCGCGCCAACTCGCGATGCTCTCCTCGGCTTTTTGAACGGCCGGGACGCGCTGCCGGCGCTGTCCTGCAGTGGCGGCAGATACGTACTCGCCTACGCTAACTTTTCGTCTTGTCTCGGCATAGTTCGTTTCAGAAGAACTTATCAATCTAAATGTTACGATTATTCTGAATGAAACATGCCGTCCACGGCAAACTTTTCATCGTTGTATCCGATATGCGGTGGATAACATATCGTTATATATGGTTTTTTTCCCCCATAGCCCCAATGCATAAAATGAGACTGTTAAGTCGACCCATCGTTATAACCGATATATCGTTATATGTGGTATCGTTATAAGTGGACTGCACTGTATTCAGTCGGACGAACTTCTTTTCAAACACCCCATGGAAGTGCCTTAGAACCCAAAGATGATTCACTTCAGTTCAATGAAGCTCAGTGCATAGCGTATTTTAGTTCTAACATATTATGCGACACCATTCAATGCCTCTGAGAGCATGTTGATGACAAAGTACAACCACTATTTTTGTAACGGCATTTTCAATCAGGTTTCACCACTGAAGCTAGTCAGTTTCACCACCGGCTATGATAACCGCAGCAATTGTAAACATACAGCTACAACAGCATGATAGTTATCATGAGTGCTTAATGGAAGCACACGTCTCTGGACTAAAGCCTTGATATTTTTCGTAGATGCACTGATGCCCACGGGGAAAGTGGAGGCATTTTCTGCAAGTTGAGCACTGTGCTTGAGAAGGTTCACGGGAGCTTGGACAACCCGACTCCACACCACTGAAGTCGACCACTGCACTTTGCACTTGTGCACAAATGCAGCTAAAGATTATTGCATTCTTCGTACGATCCCCAATAAGCATAAATTCACATGCAAATGAGCACCATGACAAATGGTTTAAAATTTATTTGAACATCAAATGCTTCCATCACCTCGCGATAACATGCTACAGCATTTGGTGCTTCAGTCCAGCAAACTTACACTCAAACTTTTTTCCCGAGGTATTTCCAAGTATCATTCAAGTGAAGCTTTACTGTATAGTGTGGAGACGGTGCACATGCAGTGGTCTGCACATGTTTACAAAATGTAAACGTAGCTGGGAATGCACGAACATTAATTTTCGCACGTGGACATTCTTGTGCACAAATTGATTTGAAAGGTAAAAATGACAGTCGCCCCAGTATAATTTCCACGACTACAGTAAAAGCTCGTTAATTCAACTTGATGGGAACTACAAAATTGTTTCGATTGGCAGGCAGCTGCTAGAATGAACAGACATCATGCCACACTGTGGGGGAGGAACCCAGAGAAGCCCACCTCTGGACTTGTTCCTTTAAATGAGGTGATACTACGCGCTTGTGGCAGGTAATTTTATAAACTAAGTTCATGCTCTAACAGTGAATAGAATTAATTGTTCAGCAACACACCAGAGAGGAACAGTGACTTGCATTCGTCTTAGCAGTGAGCCTCAACGCAAAAAAATCGCAGCATATCCACGGAGTGAATGATGATGAGTGGGGCGAAGCGTCTGTCAGCCCATCCATGCTACCGCCCATTCGTTCGTTTTTGCTTCTGTCCGTACAGCGTGACCATCCGTGCATCAATCCATGTAACCGTCCGCAAGTCCTGTCCATCCGTCTGTTCGTACGTCCATCCACCCGTAGGTCTGCTAGTCTGTCTGTCCATCTGTCCGTGCGTCAATCTAGTGAACACTCCAAGTACCGCCTTCTCCCATCTCGCAAGGCAACATCTGTGGAACATACCCACTCTAAAGCGGGTATGTGCCACCGGTGGGTGCCTACGTATATACATGCATACATACGTACATACAAAGAAGGGATGGACAGAACCAGCCATAAGGAGCTTCGCCCCCAAAATATGATGCAGTATTTTCGCTCTGAAACATGTTCCCTTACATGACAGAGTTAATCCAAACAAATTTGAAGTCCTGTCTGTCTTAGCTTTTTTAGAACAATATTGAAGTCTTCCAAGAGGACATGGCTAAAGGTAAGCATAGCCTGACTGGGCTATGACACTTGCACAGCAGTAGCAGCAGACAGACGACATTTACATACATAAAAGCATACACAGAAATCAATTCACTACGTTTGTTTTACACAGGTAAAAGTACATAACAGGTAATTTGGGCGATCGATCATTCTGGGCAGACTTCTGCAAAGAGGGACGAAAACCAGGGGCTTCCGGATTGAATAAACTGTTGTAGATACCGATATATTCTAATTATAGTTTTAACACTATAGTGTCAAAGAGCTTATTCTGTAGAAATTCCAACGTTGGCATCATTAGTCGTTATTGAAAAATCATCTTATGCGAGACCGAAAACTTGAGAATGATGCAAATAAAATTAATATTAATTAGAAAACGCCGGTCGCAGAGAGGATCGAACCAGGGTCATTTGGGTCTAAGTGGGAATCGAACCCGGCTCGTTTCTACACAAGTTGGCACCAGCAATTATGCTTATGATAATATGGATCAGGTGGTACACTCAAACCACACTTATAACCAAGTTGCATCTTACTCCAAAATAAGTTCCTTATATCCGAAATCTCATTATGAAGGTTTTTTCGAACACTACCTATTGCAAGACTACCTTTAATTTACTTTGTTATAACCAATATTTCCTTATAGCTGTGCTCGTTATATTGAGGTTTAATTGTATCATAACATTCTAAAAATTATAGAGCAGTTGTGAATTATATGCATCAGCCGGGCAAAAAACATTTTATGGCCTTTCAAGGCATTATTATGGCACCCAAGTGCTGTTAAAACTGGGTTCAACAGTATGAGAGAAAGTGAGTGTTTTGTTTCAGCAGGTTTGAAAAGGGGGGCAAACAGCAGCAAACCCTTACTTTAAGTTGTTGGCTGAAAGTCTTCAGCTGCCTCTCCGAGGCCAACTGACTCTGTTCGACGGCCTTCTTTTGTTCTTCGAGGCCTTGCATCTGGCTTTTATCCTTCTGCAACGACGCGTCCGCATCGAGCAACTTTGTCTGCAACAAAACGTTAAAGAAACAGGAATGCTCACTTCCAGAAGAAAAAAAAGACTGCAGATCAAGAAACTCCAACTTCCAAGCCTGTAAATGCTTTCCAGGAAAGCTCCACGAATAAAGTCTGCTCAACAGAAAGATGTCAAATGTCATGGCGAAACAAGCTGGTTCCAGTACCTTGATGTCGTTGCTCTCTTTGAGCAGCTCTGTCCGGCCTTCCTCGATTTCCCGGAGCTTAGCTGCCTCCGCCTTCAGCGTCGCGCGAAGTTCCATCTGCTGTTCCTTGAGAGCCATGAGCTCCTCCTGAATGCCACTTATCTCGCCTTCCACCTTTTGCAGCATTTTCTCCTGAAACGAAAAATGCAGTTTACCTTTTCTTTTTTGTTCTTTTTGTCTCCAATTTACAGAAGCCGGCACTCAACCAATCACCACGAAGCTTAACAAAAATAAAGTACACTCGGACTTGATTCTAACAAAGTTGCACCTTACAAAAAAAAAACAACTGTTATATTCGAAAATCCATTATGAAGGTATATTCCTAACACTATATTTATTGCATGACTATTCTTCATTCACTTCAATAAAACCGATATTTCATAATATATAGGTTTGCTATATTGACGACTAAGTGTATTACAAATACAGTCAAAGTCCGCTACAACGCAACTGATGGGGCATAAAAAAAATTTCGGTGAAGCAAAAATTTCGTAGTGAAATAAAAAAATTATGGCTGACCTGGGCTAGCAAAACAAAGTAACTTTTATTTCCGAAATTCAAAAAAGGTCAGCTGCTTCCTTTTTCCCAGCAGCGTATGACGCGATTCCCATACAAGTATAGCATGCCGTGATTATAAATACAGTCCAACCCACTTATAATGATCCCAGATACAACGATCTAGCAGTTATAACGACCGTGTTTCGGTGCACATAAGTTTTCCTATGCTACCCTCTACTATATGACCACATATAGTTAACTACATTTACAATGAACACTTCCGACACAGTTGAGGTAAAAATATGGCGCATACGAAGCGAGAAAAATGTTAAAGAAAGGCATTCTAAAGCATGTAAGTGCATGCTCACGTGTGACCTGCTGCAGTTTACATGCGACGAAGATATTGTTGACTGAGGCGAGTACCACACGCGGATTTCGGACGTGGCGAGCTAGGTCGCACTCAATTTCCACACGTTTATTTCACCGGCAGAACAAAAGTGAGGGAAAAAAACACGAGAAGAAATAGGAGACAGCATAAAGACTTGTGGTCAACTGTCCCACAGCAAACTTTTCTGACACCACTCTCGGCATCTACGACTGGCGGTGATTAATCAAGAATGCCTTAATTAGAATGCAAGATGCCATAAATGCAAGGAGCGGTAACTTTTGTCGCATATAAGTTCACTGCCACGCTCAACTTACCCACACCACAATGTGTCGCAAAAGGTTTTCCACCTTTCGATAACGGCAGAGACCAGTCGATTAGTGATATAGACTTCCGCGCCGTTGTGGCAGTGCCTTTACTGATAACCATTAAAAAAAGAGCGATGGCGAGGTAGCCGGTGGCGATGAATGTGCCATTGACCCATCGCCGGCAACCTCATCATAGCCATCTGCTGATAGCTGCTCAGCGGAGTGACTGCGGTACAAGCGCGTGATGCTGCCGTTCGCGAGTTCACCACTGCCGCGTCGTGCGAGGCCCACTGATGGAAGCGACATTTTGCTTTTTGGAGCAGATTCTGTAGCAGAAAAAATGGTGCTTTGGAGCAGGCTCAAACGTCTTCGGAGCAGAAAAAATGCGATAGCTTAGGGTTGCTATTGGCGTTTTTGGAGCAGATGCATGTTCCAAATGACTCCTGAGGGGAATAACATCACTTAGGCATCTATAAATATTTACATTTACTGTTAAACATGCCGTATGCCAGTATGCAGCTAGTATACAAGCAGCATAGTTAGCGTAAATTATGGGTGGGGAGGGTGAGGTGTCAAGAGAGTGTGAAATTTTCTGATTGCACTTCTTGCAAATGTGAGATTTAGCTTCAGGACATGATATAACTAAGTCAACAGTTAAGTATAGAGCTACAACTTTTTGAAAGGCTTTTTATCTTTTACTGCCCACCTGTGTCCCTCAGCGGTGTGAACTATAAAAATAGAAAAAAGAGCAAAAAAAAAGAGATGGAATAGAACAATGCAATTGCTCGAGCTCAAACCCCATGCTTGTTTTTTTTATTTTATTTGAAAGCATGATTTCATTCCTGCATAAATAAAAATATAACCCATATTAAAAATACGAATTCGACACTATGGCCTGATATGTGTCACCCCTCGAGATTTTTCTGGATTACCGCCACTGAGTTGCATACTAGGGTGATAGTGTATACAGCTTGCTTTTGGTTTCGCTTATGCTCACGGGATGGTCCCATGGTTCAACTTCATTCTTTTTAGTTTGCAAACACCATTTTGGAACAGCTACTAGCAAATATTTCACTTTGGAGCAGCATGGTGCAGCATTTCTCTTTTGGAGCAATTGGAGCAGCGCTTTCATCACTGGAGGCCGCTTGCATACATTGCTCACGAAAATTTTTCTTTTGGTTAACAAACAGGCTACTCGCCACAACTGAGCACGATCCCGAGTGAAGCATGCGTGAAGAAAGCAGAAACACGTGCAAGCATTGGAGTCCAAGCGAACTGGCATGCGACGGCAAGAGCCGAGTAAGCGACGTGCTGCAAACAACTAGCCAGGGATGACTGGTTTGACGTGGCGGCACCGCGCTTCAGTGGAACCACAGAGTACCGGCACGAGTTCATCGCGAACGTGGTTGAATTCACTTGTGAGCAAACGGGCATCATTTACCACGCGAAAAGGCCAGACGTCAGCGGAGGGGTTGTTCGCACTTTTTGAATGAGATACACACACAAAAAAAAGGGTTTGGCCACTAAGAGGACGTTTTTATGGGCAGGTCCATATACAAAGAGCTATTAATATAGCGACCATTTATCGCGGCATTTTTGAGTTAATTATAAATGGGTTTGACTGTAAAACAGAACGTCTGTTCACAGGAGCCCTGGACATCGAGCCAAACCAATCACCAGAGACACGAGCTCATCATCTAGTCTTCTGTGCCCTCTTTTATTTCTCACCAAGGCACATACACTCGAACCCCGCTGCAACGAAAGTGATGGGGCGCGGGAAAAATTTCGTTGAAGTGAAAATTTCATCGTAGTGAATTAGAAAAATTATAGCTGATCTGAGCTAACCAAACAAAGGAACTTTTATTCCCAAAATTGAAAAAGTGTCAACTGCTTCCTATTATTTCCCAGGAGCACCACGACGCAATTCTCACCCATGCGTTGTGATGCCATGGTGAAAAGCACGTTAAAACAACGCCTAGAACTGCTTTCGTTAACGAACCAAACAGTTGCATTAACATGTTAACGTCAGCAGCTGTCCGCCGTCAAAGTGTACCCGACAACTCCGAAATAGAGGCAGGGTATCGTGCAGCGGTGACATTTTCCTTATTGTATGCTACCGTGTTCACTCGCATAATCCTCGCACTTTTTTTTGACAGAGAACCGATGCAAAGTTGGGGGGTGCGAGAATTATGCGGGGAAAACTTTCCACAAAAACGTACACAGCGAAAAAAGTGGCCACAAATTGGGATTCTCACACTAGCAACTAACAGCAAGCTTTTAGAAGTACTAATTAAAATTTACCTCAACAATAATAGCAGAGGTTCAACACAAGGCAAGATTTATTTGAAACACAAAAAGTGCAAGAGAATAGTCGAGAATTAGAACACGATACGCAAAGCTTGTGGGCATTGCGGGCATAGCAGTAGCGTTAGTCACTCAACAGGAGCCCTCAAAAGGTAAGCGTAGGATGTTAGTATTGGGCTGATGGCTATTTAACAGAATTGTTGACAGTTTCCTTCTGAAGAAATAAAGTTTAGTATATATCGCAGTCTTAGGCACACAACAGGCCCAATGCATCTTGGTGGCTTTCAGTTGCCGTCACCAGTAACGAACACAAAATTCGTTGACTCCAAAGGGCCTATCGCGGCCCTGTTGCCGTTGTTTAGTGCATGATCAATCACTTTCGACTTGAAAGCAGCCGTGTAGCTCCAGTGTCCCTCCATAACGTGACAAGATTACAGACACAACATACGAAACACGCTGCAACGCACCTTTGCCGCTTTAGCTTGGATTGGATTGAACCTCCTTGCAATAATAGTACGCTTGATGCTTAAGAGATGGCGCGCGCTATCATCATCAACGGCTGGAACGAACAGATGACATTATTGCCGCAACTTTCGGAGGTGTGATAATTACCTAAAGAAAAAAAATCTTATTTTTGTTGGGTGTGGAGGGTGCGAGAATTACGCGAGTGCAAGGATTACGCGAGCAATTATGGTATTCTTATCATCCATAACTAGCAGCTGGCTGATTTTATTGACAATGGGGACGAACAGCCACTCTGATTAGTTACTCCACTGGCCAAGCGCAAATAAAATGATAAGCATTGGCATCGTTCCGCGATTTCACCCAGCAGCTGCGTAAAGGAAACCGTGAACTATAATGGACTGAGCAACTGAGCTTCAGTTTCGAATCGTCTGCAGCTCAAAAGCAAGGCAGTGGCAAAGGCAAGGCAGTCTTATTGCCATTGGTATCGAGCAATTGGACTTCGTCGATATATTTTCGGGTTCTGAAAATGCATCAAAATCTTGAAGATTACGTTTACTGCATAGCATTAAATATTCGAGCCTGGGATCGCATTGTCGAATTTTGTTGAAGCTAGTAGGCAGAAAAAAAAGTTGTCATTGTGGCGAGAATATTTAGGCATTGACTCCGGTGGACTGCTGACGAGGAACGGAGAATTTTTCGTTGTAGCGGAAATCGCGTTGAAGTGGCGTTCGTTGTAGCAGAATTCGACTTAGCCATTTTCAGTCACTTATGTAGTATATCCAAAGGTCCTCACAACAAGTTGAATTCACGTGTAATACCGTTAGTGTGTGTGTGTACACATGGGTATCCACACGCATGTGGTGCAAGCGTAACACACAGGAGAATAAAAGAAAATACCAATCGAGAAGTGTCAGAATACCTTAGCTTAGCTGTATTTCAGCTAAACCACATTAAAATGACATAGAACCCTTGATATAAGCAAGGATATAATCTAATTATGACTGCTGACTACACAGACAGTGTTTCTTTGATTTCAACACTGCCTAAGTGAGTATTTTATAGTTTTCCCCCACCCACCCTCCCTTTTTTTTTCTTCTCATGTGTTTTACGGCGGACAGATTTCCACCAAATTAAATATTTCAAGCCCGAGTGAATAGACAAGGCATAATGCGAACGTTGTGGGCTTATATGTCACCAGTAGCAATCTGTTTGCTTCAACGCAATATGGAGAAAACGGAGAAGCGAAAATTCCGGTTCTCAAAGGTTCCCCTATGAAGATACCGCCGGCGGACACTGACCAGAATGGAAACATTTGTTGGCTCGGGCTCTTCAACGGTCGCAAGCTCTCGAATCTGGGAAGACAGCTTGACCTCTTCACGCCTCATCGAGTCCAACTGGGCAGTCAGGCGGCCAGCCTCCTTCCGACTCTGCTGCAGTTCAGCTTGAGCGTCAGCGAACATGGCCTCCACTTCGTTCAACCGTCTCTTTGTGTCGGCAAGCTCTGATTTCTTTTCCCTAAAAAAAAAAGCAAAAGAATACAGGGAATGGTCAGAACAACAGTGGTGTTAAAAACTTTTAAAGAGTCACTAAAATGAAACAATAAACCAGTTTCGACCATCGAGTCCTGTTCCGAGAGCTTTGTCACTAGCACAGTTTAACCTATAAGAGATGCACGAGGAAGCAATTCTTGTCTTTTATATGAGGTCTCCTATAAGAAGTGTACTGAGTTGTGCCTTTTCTTACCAACCCCTATTTTTATGCAGCACTGTCTCTTATACCCCAAGTGTCTAATATATCAGTGTTTCTTATAAAGGAGTTCAACTTTACCTTCATAATCAAAGGTTCATTATTAGACAATAAAGTGAAAGTCACAGTATAACCAGTATAATTTATTGATTTTACGCCAGCACCACACTTGACTGCGTATATTGAGTCCCTCCCTTGTCCTAACCTCTTGTAACCATACGAGAGCAAAATAAGAGGGGCAGATGGGCCAGAGGAATGTCATATTGTCCCGATTAGTCACAAGTACTGGGCAATTTATTAAATCACCAAGTAGCTAGCTCTACGAGGATGCGTCAGTCGTGGCTGGCTTTCGAGCAGAGAAGAAGCACGCGATCTTCTTTTTTCCTCCACATATTGAGCCTCTCTTGCTGTCGACCCACTACGTGCTGGTGGCATTATCCCTCCCCCCCCTTCTGAAACGAAAAAAAAAAAAGACAAGTTTTAAAAGAGGAAAGAAAAGTACATAGCACCACCGCGATGCTACGACATAGGCACGTGAAAAAAAGAAATTGGAAATTCGGATAAAGTGAAAGTAGAAATTGAAGAGCGTGCATAAAGGAAAAGTGAATGAACGAGAAAGCAAGCTCACAAAAATAAAACAAAACACAAAGAACGCTGTACGGTAAAGAAAAAGTTGCGAACAACGTGCAATAAATGGCTTCATGCGCAACACATGAACGACGTCCGGCCTCGGTCGTGTCCTGCTCCGTGCATGCGGTGTTGAGTCCGGAACCACTTCGTAGTTCACGTCACTGCCACGGCGGCAGACGGGCGTCCACACCCAAACTTGGTCTCCAGGGTTGTGAAACATTTCTCTGTAATGGGTGTTATAGCGTCGTGCGTCTGCCTGCCATTGCTGGCCGATGTGCAGCTGTGCGAGCTGTTAGGCTTCTTCAGCAAGCTCTGCGAATTCTTCGGCGTCAGTTGCCAACTCGTTTTCGTCTTGACACGGTCTAGCATGGTCTGCACTTCGCGGCCGTAGAGAAGCCGAAATGGCGTGAATCGCCTGGTCTCTTGCACATCGGTATTATACGCGAAGGTCACGTAAGCTAAGATGCGGTCGCATGCTTTGTGCTGTACGTCGATGTACATTGAGATCATGTCTGCGAGGGTCTTATTCAGTCGATCGGGAAGTCCGTTGGTTTGCGGGTGGTACGCAATTGTCTTTCGGTGTCTGGTGTTCGTCCATAAGATGCGCCGTGAACTTCGTCCGTAAGCTGCGCCGTGAATGCCGTCCCTCTGTCCGTCATTATACTGGAAGGAGCACTGTGTCGTAACATGATGTGGCGCATGAAAGACTATGCTATCTCAGAAGCTGTGGCTCGTGGGATCGCTTGCGTCTCAGCATAGCGTGTCAAATAGTCGGTCGCGATGATCACCCATTTGTTGCTGTCCGCAGACGGAGGAAATGGCCCGAGAATGTCCATGCCGACTTGGTCGAACAGCGTGCAGGGTGCTTCAATGGGCTAAAGCAAACCAGCTGGTTTAATAGATGGTTGCTTTCGGCGCTGACATTTACGACAGCTCTTGACGTACTTTTTGACACTTGCCGAAAGTCCTCGCCAATAGTACCACTCGCTCACTCTGGCAAGTGTCCTTGAGTAGCCCAGATGACCGGATGTGGGTTCGTCATGGCAAGCGAAGAGGACGTCGCCTCGCATGTTTCGAGGAACCACCACGAGGTAAGCACGGTTGTTCGAACGAGCGTTCTTCTTGTACAGCACACCATCTCGAAGGCAGAACGACGTCAACGAGCGAATAAATGACGTGGTATGCTTGTGTCCTGGCCCTCTAAATGATCGATGATCGGACGAATCTCTGCGTCATCTCGCTGCCGTTTGCTCAAGTCTGATGCGCTAACGGCGCCCAGGAAGCCTACGTCTTCCTTTGCTTCCTGACTGACGACATGAAGGGGTGCGCGTGACAGAGCGTCAGCGTCTTCATGCTTACGGCTGGACTTATGGACGATGGTGACGTCAAATTCCTGCAGCCGCAAGCTCCACCGTGCTAGCAGTCCTGAAGGGTCGCGCAGGCTTGCCAACCAACAGAGGGCAAGGTGGTCCGTTACTATCTTGAAGGAACGACCATAAAGGTACAGGCGAAACTTGGTGATCGCCCACACGACTGCGAGGCACTGCACTGAGCCCAATGTTACTAGCGTTGGTAAGGACCTCCGTGTCAGCATCATCGTCTTAATGAGCAAGAACGGGCGCTGATTGGATGCGCTGTTGCAGCTCATCAAAAGCTGCTTGTTGCTCGTTTTCCTAGACAAACGGCGTGTCGTCCCTTGTGAGACGAGTCAGAGGTTCTGCTATCAGTGAAAAGCCATGAATGAACCGGTGATAGTAGACGCACAAACCAAAGAAGCACCGGACGGCTTTCTTATCGACAGGAGCTGGTAATTCGGCAGCAGCGGCAAGCTTGTCCGGATCAGGCCAAACTCCTTCGGCTCTAGCTACATGTCCAACAAATTTTAGTTCTTTATAGCCGAAGTTGCACTTCTGTGGCTTTAGTGTGAGGTTCGCCGATCGGATAGCCTCCAACACACTGCGCAGGCGGTGCTACTCGAACGTGACAGAGAAGACCACCACATTATCAAGGTAGACAAGACAAGTCTGCTACTTGAGCTCTGTGAGGACAGTGTCTATCATTCGCTGGAAAGTTGCCGGCGCTGAACACAAACCAAAAGGGAGTACTCGAAATTGGTATAAGCCATCTGGAGTCACGAAGGCTGTTTTCTCCTGTCTCGCTGATCTACCTCGATTTGCCAGTACCTGCTTTTAAGATCGAGAGAAGTGAAATAATGGGCACGACGAAGTCTATCCAGCGAATCGTTGATACGCGGCACCGGATACACATCCTTTTTGGTGATGTTGTTAAGCTTTCTGTAGTTGACGCAGAAGTGTAGCGACCCATCCTTTTTGACAAGTACGACTGGAGATGACCACGGGCTGACTGGAGATGACCACGGGAGATGACCAGGTGCCGATTTCGGTATGAATAAAACGAGCAGTTAATCCTGGAAATGGGTGAGTAGAAGGTGCCGCAATTTTCCCCGATCCGTTCAGCTATGATTTCATCTGGAAGGCAGTTCCAAATGCGGATGACATGGGGTATTACACATGAGTTAAAAATGTATGTTTTACCATATATGAGTGTGAATGAAAGATGATTATTTAGTCTTTTTGATGTGAATGCAGATGTTTGTAATGTCATTGATAATGGCCTTGTTTCATGTACGTATTTATGAAATAATGAAAGGAGGTTTAGAACATGTCCGCTGCTCAAAAGGGAAAGTGATAAGTATTCTTTGTTTTGTGTTATGCTTGTGCTATGATCGTAGTTTTGTGAGATGAATCTAGCGGCTCTATCTGGATCGATTCCAGCATGTTAGTTAAATAACTGTAATGAATGACCAAACTGCAGAAGCGAATTCTAGCTGAGGGCGAACAAATGTTACGTAAGCTAACGCACGTATATTTCTGGGCGTCTTACGTCAATTGTGGCATATGTAGCCCAATGATCGTGAGGCGTCGCTGCAAATGTTGGTGAAGTGGGTAGTCCAAGAAAGATTAGATGTGAATGCTACACCTAAATATTTAAAAGAGTCAGCACAAGATACGGGATGGCCATTAATTTCGGTGACATTTGCTACTTCGTAGGCAAATGCTATCAAAGTGCCACGGAGAAGATGTCGATGCTTGTTGCTAAAGTTGGTTACGAGCATTTCAGATCGGCCATCACGAAGGTGTATTACACTTCTAGCTACACAGATGCCTTGCTGCAGGAAAGCCAGCGACGACTGAGGCATCCTCCTAGAGCTAGCTACTCGGTGGTTTAATAAATCGCCCAGTACTTGTGACTCATCGTGACAAAGTGGTGGAAGTTCTGGGTAGTCTCACGGATGCTGTAGACCCCCCCCCAGGGAGCCGTGATACGAGTCCAGTGCCAGTCAATACACCCGTGCATCGGACCAGCCGCCGAACCAGGGGATTGCCTCCGGAAGTTGATGATACTGCTCCCACCACGTCTACAAATATGACCAGCGTTTCGGCGAAAATCTCATCAACTGGCACGGGAAGCACGACGTCGAACCGCTATACGTTGGGAAGCCCACGGGCACCAGCGACATTCCTGGCACAGAGTGCGAGGAAGTTGAGGACCAGTTGGCGGACTTCGAGCGCGTAGCCACCTTGAATCAGCGGGACGACGCGGCGAAACTGGGTCGTGTCTATTTCTACCTCGAAGACGGGGCATGTACGTGGTATCAAAATCGAGAGGAGCAGCTGACGACGTGGCCCAGATTCTCTCGTAGATTTCTACAGACCTATGCCAGTGCTGATCGCCATAACGAGCTGAACGAGCTATTCTGGCCCGCTTCCAGTTGCCAAACGAAACTCTAACCAGGTACGTCGAAGACATAAGCATCTTCCGACGGGCCAATTCAAGAATGACGAAGGACAAGAAGTTGCGCTACTTGATGCGTGGTGTAAAGGAGCAGCTTTTCGCCGGTCTTTTGCGAAGCCCTCCGAGGACGGTCGCGAAGTTGTTGTCCGAAGCTATGACAATAGAAAAAATGCTGCAGCACCAATCCAACCAATACGACAGGCAAGTCAGTGGCATGTCCACTGCCGACATTTTCACCGCCACTAGAACCAGCAACGACTGTCTACGTGAACTTATCCGTAATATAGTACGTGAAGAGTTGCAAAAGGCTGGTGTAACACCTC